ATGGGCTTCAGGAACAGTTCCACCAGGTGAAACTCAACATCACTAACATTTATTTTGCATAAATATAGAACTAGAGATCCTGTATCCCAGGTATTACACGTTGGTCTAAATATAGCGAGTTGCAATTATTGATTCCAGTCCAAGGAGAGCCTGGGAAAGGATCAGATTTCCACTTAAAAAATCAATATTGTTGGTGAGTGTGTGTGAACACTGACATTTTTGGCCTCACGCAGTTTAGGATTTGCTATAAAGTAATTTTGAAAGCTATGGAAAACCAATAATGGTAAGCAATTTAGCTTTTAAGAGTAAAGCCACTGATCAAACTGAGATAACTGTAAGCTCTAAGGTTATGGATGTAAACAGCCTCTTTTGTCTTTGTGGCAAGATGATTATTTCAGATGATGAAAAACTGAGCATTTTGTGTGTGTGTATGTGTTCAAATCACTTGAGATTTTATTGCTTTTTTGTCCTTATAATTTTTTAGTCTCTTTTCTTATGCTTTTTTTAATTTTTATTTTTTTTAAAAGGTGCTGTCTCTAGTCAAGTTATAAGGCAACATATTTTATTGATTCAGAACTCTAATACATAGTATGGCCACTGTTATCACTGCAGCTTCGCAGCTACCATGAGTTGAACAACAGTCAAAGTGCACGACAGTGCACAACAGAGCCAGTCTCCTGACCTTACGATATACAGGACACTTTGGTTCTCGGGATGAGAGATTATAAATGTAGCTTAGATGCTGCCTCACACACTTTGCATAATAAAACATTTATATGCTGTCATGAAGAGGATGTAAAGTCTAAGTCACTCTGCAAACTGGCTGTTCTCAGCTTCTCCACTTGGGCAGGTGTGAGAGACAAGTTGTAGATATGCCACCAGTGAAAGCATATAAATGTATCTGGTGCAAACAATTTACAAGAGTATTTATAAATGATTCAACAAGGGAGAGCAAGAGAGAGAGTGAGAGCTAAAGTGCAATTTTAAAATAATATAAATAATTGAAATGTAGAAATAAGATACTAATTAGTTGTAACTGTTTTTGTTTTATAGGCACAGTTTAGTTTTTACATCTACAGATCAATCTGTTTCTCTTCTTCCCCCTCCAGTAATATTCTCTGATGTATAATGGAGTTTCAATGGTCTAAATCTAAGGAACACTGCTTAGTAAGAGGACAGAAGAGGCAATGATAAGGCAGTATAGTGCAACTCACTATGTGACATTAGAGAAGAAACAAGGATGGGGTTAGGTCTTCCATGGTGAAATATATAATCAGCCTTATTAAAAAAAAAAAAAAAAAAAAAAAAAAGAGAAAAAAGTTACAGGCTTTCCAGTTATATGTTGACCTATGCTTTCTAAAACAAGAGAGCACATTTTCCAATACAAAGGAAACTACCGAAGGTTCATAATTTGCTTTGTTGTTACCAAAAACAGAAAAAAAAAAAAAAAAAAAAAGCAGATGCTGCTTTAAGGAAAATATTTAATTCTAGGAATTTCTGTACAACTGACCTCAGCAAGCTTTTCCATCTTTGATGGATGACTTCTGCTTGAGACCCTGAAAGATTAAGATGCACACACACCTAGAGTAGTTTATTTCCAAACTAATATTGTAACTTAAAAAAACCCAAACAGATTCTGTACAAGAATACTGTTCAAATGGAATGTGTTAAAATAACATTTATTAATAAATACTTTATAAAATTCTATGTGAATACTAAATTAATAGATTCCTGTTTTAAAATTGCTTTGGTCCTCATGAATTTTCATAAATTCACTCTATACGCTTTTTTTTTTTTAAAAAAAAGGTATTAGCTGCTAAAAAGCACATTTTTCCTAAACTAAAAGGCTAGTTTTCAACACTAAATATTGTTGCTTAAAAAAATATGAATCCTCAAAAGTTGGGCATTTAACAACAGTTATAGCTGGCTTGTTAGTTAACAGGACAGAGTCAGTTAACACACGACATTCACACGCACTGAGGCACTGAACCATTGACTTTCCACTATTCAGAAGATGGGCAGTAGACATTTAGCTTCGTAGCAGGAATTAACTCCCAACAGTGTGAAATTCTCCATAAATCATCATCATCATCATCGTCGTCCTTATAAAACACACCATGATAGCACACAAACTACTTGTCTCCCACAGGCAGCTTTATGAATATGGCTTGCATAAATTGACTCGGGGAAGGGATGGGGATTGGGGGGATGAAGGAACCGGATCACAGCATAATTTCTTTCTGGTCAAAGTATTGCAGTTGTCCGAGGCTGAGATTTCCAACGTGCATCCGATGTCACGCAATGAGAGACGCCGTCCACATAGGAAATACCTCCTCCTGAGCGAGGCGCCGGCCAAGGGAAGAGCTCCGGGTCATCTCCTGGCAGTGGGATGGGACACAGAGCCTGGCAACAGTCTGGATTTGCAGGGCAGGAGGAAAGCAGAGCAGCCTCCAGTAGTAGCTGGTGGTGGAAAAGCAGGAATTCTCCTCTATGGAAAGAGCCCAGGAAGTGCATTTAGAGTGACATGCTTAGGAAGAGGCTGCTGCCACTGACCGTGCGGCAGAGGAACATCCCAGGGACAGAGGGGCAGGGGCTTCTCCCGCAGCCCTTGCTCAGGCAGCCTCCGGTGCCCGGCCAGATTGGCAGCTTGAGGAAAGGCTGCAGGATCACTCCCCTGGAAAAGAAGAGCATTTTAATGTGGAAGCAAATCTGATGAATAATATAAGGTGCCTGGTACGGTTGGTCCTTTTACCGATGATGTCGCCGACATAAATATGCTGAGTTTTGTCTTGGCCTGTGAACTTGTGACAGAGTTACAAAAAGCAACAGCGAATAGCTTTTCATCCTTTACTTATTTCCACATCACTAGCAAGGATTATACCTAAAGGCCAATAGTATAGAGAGGAGACATTGCATTGTAATTACACATTTAGGCCAACATGTGTGGTTGGCTTGCCTAGTTAGCATTAAAAAAAGAAATAATTGAGCTATATATAATACACATCAGTCAAACTGTCAAGTTGCTGAATTTAACAAAACTTAGGCAAGGTTTTTGTATTTTTTTTTACTTTTTTTTTTTTTTTCTTTTTAATGTAGAGGCTTTCAGTTTAACAGCTAAATATTTTAATTGAGGGACTGAAGAAAATGAAGCTAAACTGTAAGTCTAGTGCAGTGTAGCTCAACTGGGTATTCTAATATTACCAACAACTTTTATTTTTATTTTTTAATGTATTTAAGTGCTACCCATACAGAGGAAAAGTTTTAAAAATTAACCCTGTGACAGCATTTTCTTTTTGCACGGTGAATGATGACATTCAGACACAGGGGAAATGCTTATTTGTTGTTTTTTTTTAACATAGTGGATACTCAGCTGGAACATTTTGCTTGACTGCATACTTAAAAAAAGTTCCCTTGGGAGCCATGATGAAGCAAAACCATTTCGCTATTACAAGTGGAAGTTAAAAAAAAAATATAGATTCAGTATTTAAAACATTTTAAAAGTATATGTTTGTCTAAAATATAATAGAAAATCCTTTACATTTGTATTTTTTCTTAATTTTTTTTTTGGTTCTTAGACTATATAATCAAGTCAAGATTTACACTGTACATTAAAAAGTCTTCTTTTGAATGCACTTGCATAAACGGAAAGCAAGCTGCTAGAGAATACTGATAAAAAGTTAGTTACCAGGAGAAGAACTAATTCAGAAATGAATGATCCCCAGAATTTTGCTTTCCCTTCCAGGCAGCCCCTACTCCTTACATTGCCTCATGCTTCAGTTGTTTCTCTTTCCCTCCTGCACAGAGAAGAGTCACCCTTATAGACTTCACAACTCCTCTGAAACCCAAAGAAACTGCCTTTGATGAGGAGAACTTTGCTTCAGAACAAAGTCTGCTCAGGGCTAGAGGATTTGCCGGGAATAATGTGAATTAGCTTTTGCTATTAAAGCTGCAGCTCAAAATGTTTGAACATTTATCACCAGCTCAGAGTCCACTTCCCGGGTAAGCAGCAGGAGGTTTTGTCACTGACAGATTTGAGAGCAAAATCGGGTTCCAATATATGGCAAGGCAGCGTAATTAACTGGCATCAGCTCTGTCTGATTTTCCCATCAATCACTGGTACCACTGTGGGATGCAAATCACTGGTGCTGAGGGGCAGGCCCAGAGCCCAAATAAAAACTTGAATTGTGGCATAAGGCTCTATTCCAGACCCTCTTTGCAGGACTGAGTTTTATCCAGAGTGCAGTGGGCTTGGCCATTCTTGCAGCACTTTCCAGCGGCTGCACGCCTTCTAGACATTATTTAGCGTCCTAACGAGACCGTTCCTTACCCGCGGTACACGGGCGTTAAGTGCCGTTTCAGTCAGTGAGGCTACACCGCTGTCTGACAGCTCGGGATCACTCTTAAAGGGTGCTTAAAGGAACACCTCCAGAGAGCAGGTTTTGCCCTGGGAATTCAAAACGGCCTTTTCCCAACTGGTCAGAACCGTTACCCTGATTTATTTCTCATTTATAGCCGTGAAACCTGAGGCTGTCAGTTTTCAGTGCTAGAACAATGTAACTGGGTTAGGGAATAGAACTTTTCCGAATTATTATATACTACATGGATTTTTCTATGTTAATGACTGGCAGTGCAAAAGACTTGCTGTGATTCTCTGGTGTTGCTCCCTAAGTCTGTGCCATGCCATAGGAGCTTACAGGGCTGCTAGCATCAACACAGCTGGCTCTCAATCCCGCTTCACCTGGGGCTGCACTGCTCTCACCTTTCGCTCGTTATTAAAAACACTAAATCAGGAGCATTTCTGTTTTTTAAAAGCCAAACGCTGGGTGCAGCTCAGCTGTGGGTGAAGAGCTAGTGAAAGCAGCAGCCGCGCCGACAGTTTTTAGGTGGGCTTGAAGTTTTTGCTTGTTCATCACCGTTCTTTGAGAAAAAGAGAGTGCAGCGAGAAAGCCTTGGAATGAAAAAAGCAGGAAGAAAAAAAGCTGAGGGATGAAAAGGGTCTAGGAAGGGGAAAGGAGGGTGTAAGAATAACCGGAGGAGAACAAGGGCAGGGTAGGAGAGAGAGGAGAGGGGGGAAGGCTAGACAAAGGAGCACGTTATTTGGGCTTGGTTTTGTCCTGACAGCCACATCCTATGTAACTGCTTTGAAAGAGGCTCTGAATACAAGACAGGGTCGGCTGATAGCACAACGCTAACTCATTTTTTATTATGCTGTCAGCAGATGCCCTCTCTCTATATTTATAGCCTAATTACTCCTAGTTACCTACATATGACTCTGTTTAATACTTTTCATGCCTCACATTGGCTAACAAGCTGCAGTTTAACACAACTCCGTATTTCTGAGCTTCAGGCTAGACTGGTGAAAAGGAAGCGTGACTATGTACAGAAACAGTTAGGTTTATAAACAAGTAACTGGTACCAAAAAAACTGGAGAAAGCACCAAAGCATTTCTCAAGCTGATAGCATATTAATTGCATAACTCCCTTTTATGTAACTAAGTATAAAAGACATTTTAATAACTATAAAAATGAAAGCCAGAGTCTTTCAAGAACTGAGGAATCTTCCAGGCTTGAGTTACAGTTGCAAATGTCCTTAGCACAGAGGATGCTTTGATACGCTACCACACTCCCCTTGCAGTTTCTGATCAACCACTTTTAAAGGATGGGGTTGATGTCTGTTCTGTGGCTGGCGAGCTGGGTGAGAGTGGAGCTTCCCACGACGTCACTGACGGAGGAGGAGGTCGTGATGGTGTTATGCTGGATGACTTGCTGCTGGGAGCAAGCTGGGACCGGGCTCGCAGGAGGGCTGCTCTCGGGACCTGGGAAGGAGGGTGAGGGCACAGAGACAATGCACATTCAATTATCCATGTGAGTAACAAGCTGGGTGACACTCCTGGAAAAGGGTTGTACTACTTCGCCAGCAATACTAACAACCTGAGGCATGCACGAGTCCCAGGATTTCAAAATGCACAGTTATGCAACACTCTCCGTCTTCTTATCTTTTGCAGTTTTTGTTATTTTTTTTTAAGTCAGTTTCTCTGATATCAACCTGATTTCAGGACCTGGTACCTTGAAAAATGTCCAAGACCTTAATGATTATGAAAGCAATGCCAGGATAAGAAGTCTTATATCTTAAGGTCTGTAAAGTCAGTTGGGATGCTTAAATGCTTTCTTTGCTCCAGCAGGAA